GACACGGGTGTGGGACAACTGGGGAAAGTTGAGTGGAGGCAATCGTCTTGTCGTCCGCAGCGCCTGAAGTCCAGAGAGCCACGACCCCCTGTGGCCTGAGTAGTCCGTGTCAGAATATTGTGCTCTAGCCTGCAGTGGGGTGCTCTATAGCGAGTACAACCCTTCTAGGGTTAGCTATTTGTACCACCATTGTTGCTAGTGCACATCCTCTTTGCCTTCATTCTCTCTTGCCTAGCTAGGTCAACCCTAGCTATGGCTCCTCAGTATACCTACTATCTCGACAGTCCGGGGCTCTGCGCCCGGTAGCCACAGTGTGAGCACTCCTGGTAGTCCAGAGAGCCACGACCCCCTGTGGCCTGAGTAGTCTGGGGCTCTGCGCCCAGTAGACACAGTGTGAGCACTCCTCGGAGCACAGAGAGCCAGCTGCGCCTGTCGCCTTGTAGTCCGGGTTTAGCCAGGTAGCGACAATTCTGCGCACTCCTGTTGCCCGTGTGTCTGCAGCTTCAGCCGTCGCCTCCCATCTTCTCGCCCCCACAGTTTCTCCTCCTCCTCACTTGCCCTCTGTGATAGTCTCTAGCTTTGCTTATAATTGTGAACTACTGCTCTGCCTGCTTGTTGTGTTGATTGTACCCCACTTTGACTATGGGGGTGTGTCAGAATATAATGCTTGTCTAGTCTGTAGTGGGGTACTCAATAGTGAGTATAACCCTTTTAGGGCTTGCTATTTGTACCCCCCTCCTTTCTAGTTCAAGCCCCCTTTCTCCTATTTCTCCTTCGTGTACCCCGAACCCTAGCCATGGCTTCTTAGCCTTAGCTAGTATTCTAACACGGGGCAGTCGATGACGGCTGCTGCTGCTGATGCTGAACCGCTGGGTTCAGGTTGCGCGCGGGTGGGGGTTGATACCCCTGGGCTGGACGCACGTCGCCTCGTGCGTCTTGTCGGCCGGACCAGTTGCTCGGATTGGTCTGGCGAGGGCGGGATCGGTACTTGCATCGATCCGCCAAGTGCCCAAAGTTTCTGCAAATCTTGCAGTAGAGGAGCTGCGGCCGTCGCTCTTCGTTGTTGACGGCGTAGAAGGCGAGCCTTCACGTTCTCGTCGTGGCGCTGGTCGCTGCTGATCCATATCCCGTTGTTCGACGAGAAGGGCGGCGCAAAGGGCGGCCTCCGAGATGACCCCCTGCTGTCGGAGAAGCGCCTTGCAGAGCCGTCATTCTGGGCCGAGCCCTTGAAGCACGATGTTCACGAAGATTTCCTCCGAAATCGAACTTCCCAACTTCGCGATTTGATCGCGAAGGCTCCGACAGCGATTGATGTAGCTGTTGACCTTCTCCTTTGAGGTCATTTTGGTCTCCAGTAACTGCTGGAGTAGCCGGCTCGAAGAGACTGAGTCCTTCGGCTGATACACACCGTTCAGGTGGCGCCAAGCGTCGAGGGCTGGAGCAGCCGATGTCTTGTACGAACGGATGTTCAACTATTCCACCGGCGACATGTTGCGCAGGAGGACTCCGTACGCCATCAGGGACTTGTTCTAATACCGAGCCCTGGCGTCGACGGTGTCTTCAGCGGGTTCCGCGTAGCTCCCGTCGAAATAATGATAGATTTGAGCATTCTGCAGCAAGAGCTTCAGTTCGATATAGAAATCTCTCCCGTCAAAGCATGTACTTGTCTTTATTTTTGATATGCTGAGAAACCTTGATTGCGCAGAGAGAATTGCCTCTTCACTGGGACGGGGAGCCTTGGGGGTTGAAAGTGTGCGGGGCGGCGTTCTGGCCATTTGGGCTTGGTTGAGAAGGTTGCGACGTTGTTCCTGCGTCGCCGTTCCGCAATGTTTGGAGCCCTTGCTCCAAGCTGGTGAGTCGCTGAAGAAGTTGTGCGAGGACTTCGGTCCCGATCGTCGTCGTTTCCTCGCTTGTCGCAGCCGGGTTGGTTTGCGCTTCAGCCGTCAGATTAGTCTGACCACCAGATCCTCCGGCCATTCTCACACGCGAGCGAGAGTGTGCTGGACGCCACTTTCTGAATGTCGAAATTTTCAGTACTGACAGTGCGAAGGATTCCCGAGCCGCTCTCATACCATGCTGCGATCAGGAAGGGATCGCTGCCAGGATCTACTCGAGGAGGTTTGCACGCAGGTAGATAGTGTTGGTGGGCCCTTGACCTCAATAGCAGAGTGAATGTAAAATGCTTGAGATGAATTAAAACATGCAAATACAACGATATAAATAAGAGTACAGAGGAGTTCGAATCGACCTAGCTAGCCATGTACGCTAAGGAGTGTATTCCCTTATTCAAATTCATGCTCAGCCGTGTGGCGCGTACAGTTACGAAACTGTTCCCGCCGAAACCATCCTGCCTGCAATTGCCCGATGCCGTCTGCTCCGACGGTCCAGATGCACCCCAACCGTCTGACGTTTCGAGTCAGTTCTGACTCTTCGCATTCGTTCTCGATACTGCATGCTTCCTTAGCTGCGGTCGGGAGTGCTCAGTAACATCCTCATGCATTACTTTCCGCAACAGTTTCAGCATTCTGAAATCACGTTCCTCTTTTTTTCTTCGAGCTCACTTGTTGAGTAGAATTCATAACACCCAATATTCTCATTTTCTCCCTTAGTGCAGTCCTCTCTTCCATTGTAACATTTGGCCACGAGATCTGCGCAGACCAGCTACCAACAGTTTTGGAAGGTAGCAATACATTCAACCAATGGTGGCAAGGATAAAAGCCTGCACTGTGCAGTCAAGTCGTGACTCGTACATCGTGTCGCGACTTTTTTTTTTTCCCCCGTTTGCGCACACTGCTGCACGCTACGTAGCAAGTCGTGTGGCGATTCGCCAGGGCTGGAATGTTGCAAGGTGGCGTGCGACTTGGGTCACCCTGCCAATACACCTGGTCTCCGGTAATTTCAGAAAGTGGGCAGCGAGCCGCGTCCTTGTCGTTTTGCCCTGGGGTTGAAATTGGGGGGAACAAAAAAGTTCCCTCTAATTTCAACACTCTCACGAAAGATTTCGGGGTTTCGGACTCTTCTGAACTAAGCGAGAGCGGTTGTATTCGGTTTAGGGTATCGGAGGGTTGTTGGGAGGACCGAACCGCTCTCAACCAGGAGCCACAGATGACGACAGGGGTCGTGAATTAGGGGGAATGAAATTATTGGAGCCCAGGTGTACATGACCCAAGTCGCTACACGACCTTGCAACTAGTCCTACCAGGCGGAATGAATCAATGCTTGCCAGGTTACCCTGCCACCTGCAACATACATACTCACTAATGTTTTTGTGCCCTGCCAAGCAAAATCTCCAACGATTTCCACTTCAATTGTTTCTATGGGTAATTCTGGGCCTTCTCCAGTGCGTAAGAAGCGGAGGCCAGAATTCAACTTCCTACACGAGAAAAAGGCAGCAGTGTAGAATGACCTGTTGTTTAGAGAATACTATGGAAAACATTACCCTTTGGTAAAGGTTATAGAGGTAGGCGGGGAACATGCTGCAGGGGTGAGGAATTCGATTCGGAAAGTTTAGGAAGAGGGTCGCCATCGGAACCCAACCGTCCCATTCGGACGTTGGTGGCCTCGGACGGACCCACCAAACGCCCCACTTGGTGGAACCGAGTTTCCACCAAGTTTGCACGTGGAAAGTTCAGGAAGAGGGTTGCCATCGGAGTTCCTTCCAACCAAAAGAAATGCCTGCCCTGCCACATCCTGCACTGTGTGCGACTGTGTCATCTGTCCCATTCGTGATCCCACAAGCAGAAAGAAAACTGCCAGTTCGGCTTTATTGCTGCTTCTGTTCTCGTCGTAATCTCCAACTCTCTTTTTGGCCCCAACCACGACATGACGAACACAACAGCCATGATGGCTGAGCCATCATCTCCTTTCTCTGCAAACGCCAATTTTACCGTTTCGAATTGTCAGTCTTTTTTCACGCCTCCACCCAGTCCATGGTTGGCAAAACGCGTTGTTTGTTTTTGTGCAACGACGTTTCTCGTTGACATCGAGCTATGGTGCGTGATTAGCCCATTTTCCCCAATCAATGCTGTCCTAATCTCCAATCAGTCACCCACAGCGTTGTTTGTTCAACCAAACCTCGATTCAAGCCGCCTCGAATTCAACCAACCCCCGTAACAGCGAGTATCTGTCACCACGCAACGGCCATGGCGACGTTGGAAAAATCATCCACGGCCTCGCCACCACTCCTCTCCTCCCCTTCCTCCTTTTCCTGTCGCTCCCCCGCGCTGCAGCAGTCGTTCGGCACAGCGTCGCCCTCTCTCTCTCCCTGTCCTTCGCTCAACGCGTCGACAGTGATCGTCCTACTGCCTGACGAAAGCGTGCGACTGTACGAGCAGCGAATCTCCGCCGATCGCGTGCTCGCGGAGTTTCCGAACCACGAGCTCCGCCGCGCGGGGAGCCGGCGGTCGCTAGACGCCGACAGCAAATTATCGTCGCGCGAAACTTACGCGCTAATCGACCCCAAACTCCACGAGTCGCCTCTCCACGACCCCACGGTCGTGTCACTATCGAACCGCCAGCATCTACCACAATCGCCGCGCCAGCCGCTGAAGCGGCCTCCGCCATCGCCGCAGTCGGAGCCGCCAGCGTCACAAAATGGGGCCGCATTTTTACAGCCGCCTCGAGAATTCTCACCCACGACGCCGCCGCTGGAACGGGCGCGAACGACTAGCCCCGAGCGGAGCCAGCCGGCCGCTACAACCGTCGTTTGTAGCAGCTGTACTCGGTTCCCCTATCATGTGCAGTCTGCCGGCCAGCTCCACGGGCGCAGCGCCACTGGTGGCTCCGGAAAAGGCGCCGCTTTCGGCGGAACCAGCGCCGGGAATTTCGTGCACGCAGCGGAGGTTGCGAGCCGCCGTCTCAGCGGTTGCCGCAGCGCGGCCGCTCACCAGCGCGTGTTCGAGGCGACAGGGACATCCGCTTCCTCGCCTGAAGATGACCCTTCACCGTCTTCGGGTCGCTCTGTTGATGTTGCGCCGCGCGACCGTTTGCGAAGCGCCTCAATGTCCGACGCACGGACAGAACAGAATGTCGCACGGCATGCCGCACAGACAATCGCAGAGCATGAATTATCAGCGGGCGCCGTCGCTTGCGGCAGAGCAACAACCTGCTCTCAGGAGGAATGTCCTGGCGTCGACGACGAGCGGGTTACGTACGTCTGCGACAAGTTCGCGACATCGCCAGAGTCAGAAGCTGAAGGCGACGACACGCCAGGAGTCCCACTCGATCACGACAGCTGTTGCTACAACGCGGCGTCGCGGGCCACGTGGCAGCATTCTATGGCGTCGCCTCTGTTGCGCCAGTCGTCGCTCACGACGTACCTGCCGTCGACGGCGGCGGCGATCGCGGGGTCAGGCGGGTTCCAGGCCGAGGCTGCAAGCATGATGCGGCACGGCGCGCACGCGGCGGCGGCGCTGTCGCGCTTCCCCGGGACCATGATGCCATTCTTCGACTCTCTCGGTTCGCGACCCGACTCGGACGCTACTAACGGCAAATCCAACTTGGAGACGCCCGCGGCCGCCGCGCACGGGCATTCCGTGCGGCCGGTGCCACCGCTGCTTGAAGTACCACCGGAATCGCTTCTTGACACGTCAGCAGACCTTACCGGCGCCGGCGACTCGGAGATGCTGCGCCAAAGCGAGGTGCGATTCGACGCGTGGACGGACCACGATGCGGCTGCGGACGTGCCAACGCCGCGCTTGCCGCGTCGCCGTCAGGGTTACCCTGCCGGCGGGGTTCGCGGATCGGCTGCCATGACGGCGCAGTCGGAGAGGCGCGGAGGCGATGCCAGCGGGAATGGCGCTACTAGTGGCGCTTCGGGCGGTAGCCTTGTTCTATCAGATAGCGCATCGTCTGTTAGCCTTCCGCAGACGCCGAACGCCGTCGGATTAGTTTCCGAATCGGGGAAAGAGCTGCGATGCGCTTCGGGAGACGGCGACGCGGAAGCCGCCGAGGAGCCTATGGGAGCTTCCGAACGAGCCGCTGTGGCGGCGGCGGCCTCGAGTGCGCGACCCGGGTTTGTGCGCCAGCGCGCCACGTCAGCGTGCCTCGACCTCTCCTCGTCTAATATCACTTCCAGCAGCGGCGACTGCTCCAGCGGCGGTCGCGCCGCGAGAGCGGGGAGCTCGCTGTTCGAGGAGTGGACGGATCTGGGCGGCCGGCCGCCGTGGGTGGCGGGAGACAGCGGATCGGCGCAAGGGAAGGAAGCATCCGGGACGGCGACGGAGCGCCGACGGCCGATCTTCCACCAGAAGACCCCGTCGGGCCGCATCCTGCAGGAGGTAAGGCGCCTCAACTTGAGGGGGAGTCGCTCTCGTGTGCTCTAGACCCGTCCGACCGTCCGTCCGTTCGTCCGTCCGTCCGTCCGCCCGCCCGCCCGTCCGTCCGCCCGTCCGTCCGTCCGTCCGTCCGTCCGTCCGTCCATCCCTCAAAACCCACTGCACCTCACTAACTCTTCCCTTCCCCATCCTTATCCCTTCCTATTCCCCGGCACAGCTGTTCGACCTGGAGAACGGCCCTCTGGACATCGAGTTCCTAGTCAGCCTGCCTTTAGAGTCGACTCAAAAGTTCACTCATTCTCCTCGCCCTCTTCCTCTCCCCCCCCCTCTCCCTCCCCTCCCCCCCCCCCCCCCCCCTCACAGCTGTTCGACCTGGAGAACGGCCCTCTGGACCTCGAGTTCCTAGTCAGCCTGCGCACGCCCAGCCGCCGCCACTACGACTCGCCTGCTCGCCCATCCTCCGTGCGCTCCTCGCCTTACGCCCGCCGCACGCCCACCACCACGCCCCCTCGCCCTCCCTCCTCTCTCGCTCCCTCTCCCTCTCCTTCTCCTCCTCCTGCTGCTGCGGCTGCTGCTGCTTCAGATGGCCCGGCCTTGTCAGATTCTCCCTCCGCCTCCGCCCCGCTTGATTCAGCAGGCACTGAATCTGCTGTTTCAGGTGCTGCTTCTTTAGAATCGCTTAGTCCCCAAGATTCCCCTCTGGCTTCTTCAACTTCACTGGCTGCTCCTGCTGCTGCTGCCGATGATTGCAGCGTTGACGAAGAGGACGAGGCAGCAGCAGCAGCAGCGTCAGCATGGGCAGCGGTAGAGCTGGTGGATGGGTCGGTATCACCGGCTGCTTCTGTCTCGCGCGGTTGGATCGCCTCTGCTGCGCGCTCGCGCTTCATCTCTCGCATCGCCAGCAGCTTCAACTACTCCTCCCTGCATGGCCGCCGCGGCCTCTTTGGCTTGCGCACCAAGGGCAGCAGCGGCAACAGCAGCAGCAGCGTCACCACCACTACCGCCACCACTGGCGGGAATGGGAACAGCATGACAGTGATAGGTACGGGTGCAACGGCTGCTGCTGCTGCTGCCGCTACCGGTGCAGCCGTCAGTGGCAAGTCCGGTAGCAGAGTGGGAGGAGGCACCCGGTCGTTGATCCGCCGGGGAACCATGCCCGTGGTAAGGCACGGACATGTGGCAACAGCTCTGGATGGCACCTCGGATCGCCTCGCTGCTGCTGCTGCCGCCGTTGCCTCTTCTGAAGGGTGCGCTGCTGTTCATGCCAGTGCCTCAGATGGTGATATCAGTGCGAGTGCAGGTCAGCACAAGGAGATCAGCGGAGCCCTTAGTGGTCAGTGTGTGGCCGGCAGCAGTGGCTGCCCTCGCAGCATCTCCACAGGAGCAGCCTGCAGCGGCAGCGGCATCATTAGCAGCAACAGCGGCATCATTAGCAGCAACAGCGGCATCATTGGAAGCAGCAGCATCAGCATTGCGGGAATGGCAAACAGCAGCAGCAGCAGTGGGAGAGCTGCGTCCCAGGCGAGCATGGGCGCATGGGTGGGCCCAGAGGCAGGCGTGCACGATGCTGCATGGCGCCTGCTGCTGCTGCAGCAGCAGAAGATCGCCATGATGGAGGAGGAGATCCTCCAGCTCCGGCAGCGCTGCCGGGCCGCAGGACTAGGCTCGGATAAAGCCAGGAGCGGAGGCGGAACGGTGACTGCTGCTGGCTCATCCGAGAGCAATGGATTTGTGCTGGAGAATCAGGGTGTGGGGGGAGGAGGGGCGTCAGGAGCAGTGTATGGCGGGCTTGGGCAGTATTCCGCGATAAACCTGCGCAGGGGCCTGGGGGAGGGAGTGCAGGCAAGAGGGGCGAACACTAGTCTCAGCCTTTCACTGCCGGAGACAGGCCGTGATGCCAAGGACGGACCAGGAGGGAGCGAGTCTCTGGCCATTCCGTCGCCCAGCTCCTCCCATTCCACGTTGAGTTGGGCGAGCCATGCCGGTCGCCTCGATTCATCCGGGGATAGCCTTGTCTCGCCGCGGTTTTCCCCTAGGCCTGCTGTTGCGGCTATGGGTGCTGCTGCTGCGGCTGCCGCGGCTGCTGCTGGGAAGGCTCGGGTGTCAAGTCCCTCTGCTGCCGGTATTCGGCACGGTTTTAGAGCCTTCTAGGTAATCTGGGAATTGACTGGAAGATTGTGCTCTTGTATTGCTTTATCATTTGATTTTCAGGTAGGTGCCCTTGAGTCATGAGACATAATATCATTTACGTGGTGATACTGGCCTTGCAACTTGAGCATGTCCAAAATACATTACACCTATAAGCTGTTTTTAACTGAAGGGCTTTTTATTTATTTATCTATTTATTTGGAATACTTGTTGGTGCTGTACAGCACTTTGTGTCTGCTGTTTTTTCTTTCTATTTAATCAATGTACTTGATTTTTTCAGCATCCTCTAGTCCCGCAACCAAACAACCACAGAGGTGGTTATCAAAGTGTGCAAATATTAAACCAATGTAAGAGAGTGGGTGAGGCAATGTAAACATTAGGGCGTGTAAAATCTTCGCAAATATGCGAAATTAGCATTTGGCCGGGTCTACGACGACCATTTGGTCGACATTTCTTTCGCGAAAGGCGACGGATTGGTCGACTTCGTGTCGTCAAATTTACAGCCACTATTTGCAGATTGCAAACTTTACACATTTGAGGGCCGAATTCCAGGCCGGTTTCAAAAAGTTGTAAAATTTGCAGTTGGTTCGAATGAGCGACGGAGTCGCACATTTGACGGCGAAATCTATGATTTGTCGCGATAAAAATTTTTTGTCGTTCTGCGAGACCGTGCGACGTCGCACGTTACAGTCGCTCACGGTGTCGACTCCTTGGCCGAATTGGAGTCGACATGATGTCGGATACGAGTCGAATTTCAAAACGGCCTTCAATTTCGTTTTTTGTTGGCGAATTTCGCGACGGTCGTAAGTTTTTTCGTCATTTTCGCAAAAGGGTTACTTTCGCCAATTTGGCCATTCGCCAATTTGGCCAATTTCGCTTGTGGTCGAATTTTTAGGTGCGGCGATTTTACACGCCCTTAGCTTTATCGTGCGTGCTTGTTGCACGTATCGCTGCCGACATTCACCTCCCCCCGCGCCCCTACCCCGATCCTACCCATATTTCTCCTACCCATATCGCTCCTCGCGCCGTCCACAATGGCGCACGACGCCGTCCGGCTCGCCGCAAACGCCGCAGAGTCCGAATTCTGCTCGTCAAACTCCCTCTCTGCCGATCCCCGCGCTACCTCAATCATGTCGGCCGTCTCTTCTTCCCCGGAAACGCGAGATGCCTCGAGATCCCGTCGACTTTCCACAACCGTCGATATGTCCCACGAGGCTGAATTATCCGGCGGCGGTAATTCTGGGCGGTTTTGTCCTGCTGCTGATGCGATCTCTGACGAAGCAGGTCCGCTGGTCGCGTTATCGGAGCTGGACTCGTGCGACCTTATATCGGGTCCGCACTCGGCGCACCGCCAACCGCGCCAGCCGCGCAAGCGCGGCGACGACGGCAGATTGCTCATGTCGTGGCGCGTTCCGGACTGGTCGCTCCCGCCGCTGACGACAGACCTGCGCCTCTCCTCACAGGAGCCGTTGGAGCAGCTCGAATCGCGCACGCAGTGCCCGGGGTGCGGCAAGTCGCAGCACTACCTCTGCTTCAACTGCCTCCGGGTACGACGGGGAGGGGAGTGGGAAATGGCTCATTGATTCGACTCAGAAGTCGCACGCAGTGTGCTGCCGGGGTGGTGCAACTCGCAGCATTATCTCTGCTTCAATTGCCTCCGGGTACGACGGGGAGAGAGAGAGGAGCTCATTCTTATCCGTCTAGATTCCCCTTCCCTCCTCCCTTCCCTCCTCTGCTCCCCTTTTCTCCTCTCTCGTCACCCTCCTCCCGCCCCCCTGGTCCCTCCAGATTTCTCCTCACCCCTTCCCAAAAGTTCTTGCCACTTCTTCAAAACCCTCAAACCTCTCTCCCTGCCCCCTTATCCTTCTCCAATCTCCCCCCCCCCCCTCTCCCTCCCTTCCCCCTCCCCGTCCTCCCCATCCCCGCCCTTGCCGTGCCACCCAGGCGTTCACCCCTTCACACCTCACCCCACGGGTCGCCCTCCCATTCCACGCGCACATGGTCTACCACCGCACGGAGCGCGCCAGCATGAGCACGGGCGTGCACGCCGCCGTGCTGGCGCCCGCGCACGTCACCCTGCACCCCTGGGCGGACATCCACGCACGGCGCCTCCCCCAGTTCGACGCGCGCGATACGGTGGTGCTGTTCCCGAGTGCGAGGGCGCGGGAGGTGCGGGAGATGGGCGCGGAGGAGCTGCGGAGAGTGAAGCGCGTGGTGCTGCTGGAGGGGAAGGTGCGCGCTGGGGGAGGGGAAGGGGACGGGAGGGGACGGGAGGGCAGGGGAGGGGAGTGGGGCGGGAATGGTGGGGGTGGGGAGTTGGTGCAGGAGGGATGTGGGGCATGGAATGGGGATTTGGAAGGCGGTGAGATGGAATAGGGAGAGATGAGAGTGCGAGAAGTGTGTGCAGTGCCTGCTTTTCGTCCTCCTCCTGCCTTACTGTTTCCCCCATTTCCTTGTTTCCCTTCGCCATGCTCTCCATTCCCTCCCCTCCCTCCCTCCACACTCCCTTCCCCCAACTCCTCACTTCCCCCCCACACACACCCACATACACCTCCATCATTCCCCCTCTCAACCCCTTCACACCCCCCCTCCCCCCCAAACCACAGTGGAAGGGCGCGTCAGCGCTGCTCGCGCTCCCCCAGCTGGCGTCCCTGCAGCACGTGCGTCTGCCCAGCAGCATCCGCTCGGCGTTCTGGCGCTACCACACGCGCGGCGTGGCCCCAGACGCTGTCAGCACCGTGGAGGCGCTGCTCTGGCTCTGCCGCTGCTGGCACGCAGAGGGCCATGCGCAGCATGGCGAGCATGGCGAGCATGGCGAGCATGGCGAGCATGGCATGGAGTGTGAGGCGGAAGGGAGGATGAGCTGTGGGGATGAGCGGAGCGGGGTTGGGAGGGCGAGGGGGAGTGGAGAGGCGAGAGGGAGCGGGGAGCAGATGGAGGAAGAGAGAGGGAAGGGGGGGGTGGGAGGGATGTGCGAATGGGAGGGTGGTGGGGAGAGGCAAGGGAGGGCTTTGGAGGCCAAGGGGTGGGGAGAAGCAGATGGAGAAGGAAATGAGGACAGGGAGAGAGACGTTGCAGAAGAGAACTCAGAGGGAGCGTTGCAAGAGAATGGGGTTCATGGGGAAGCAATCACTCTCCCGAGGGTCGTCAATGGCAGCCACTCTCCAGAGGGTAGAGAAGAGCCGGCAGCAAGCTTGTTGGAGCAGGTTGAGTGCGGTGCTGTAGGGGGGGGACAGGCGAGTGATTGCCACTGCTTTGACGACTTGCTCTGGTTCTTTGCTCATTATCACCGCCGCATCATGCATGACATGCGTGAAGGCTGTGACGTGTCCACGTGAAGACGTTATTCTACTTAGTGGTAATTAGGTTTTTGAAAAGTCATGGTGTCATAAATTAAGAGAGCTTCTCTTATCTTCCACATCAGTTACCGTAGCATCATTCTCATTTCAACTGGCTGATCACAACATATGCAATGAGCTTGGTCAAAAGAGGGTAACTCAGAAGCATGTGCATAAATGATTAAACTATTTTGAAAGTTCGTAAAACAACCTACATAAATGAGAAGGTGCGCTCATTATAGTTGGAGACTTCAATAGCGAGGATACAAGCATAATTCCCATTCTTGCTGCACCCACTTGGTCACACGGCAACCAATCATGGCATTTTTTCTTTCTTGACAGAAAGAACAGTGCTTTTTCAACCGCTGGTTCGAGCGGGTTGGGTACTGTACGCTGTGGTGCTACTGTAGGAGGACCACATTTTCTGAAGGCGAGATAGGACAACGTGACCGTGGTCAGGTGCCTGCACTTGGCGCAACTGAGCTGAGCCCTGCCTGCCTTTGTCACCAACGGAGCTACTGCAGCCTCACCCACCCTTCACCCTTCACGCCGCCTCCAGTGGGGGAATCAGCACGGGGTAAGGGGTCTTCAAAAAGCTGCATTTGCGCCGACGTCGATTTTCGTCGAGGTTGTTGGGCGAGGTAGGTGAGCTGAGGGGTGCCATTTCCGTGTTCAAAGTACGCTTCAAAAACTGCTGACGCCAGCATCGCTACTTGTACGGAATTGTGCAATAATTCGTGATCAGAAGCGGTCAATAGAAAAGATTGAGCGCATCTACACACTGATAAAAAGACAACTTCAGACAAAAATGAAGATTGGCATGACGGGTAATTTCGAGCAGTGCGAAAAATGTACTACTCGCTTTGAGATTTTCGCAGCCAATAAACGCACAAACGACACGCATGCAAAAATTTCGCGACTTTAGTTTTGGTCCCAATTTAATTGTTCACTGCTCACAATTCAATTGTTCTTTGGTCTCAATTCAATTGTTTGACTGTTAAGGCCGGCATTTGTCCTGAGTGACACTTCGTCGCCGGCAATGTGTTCGAAGTGCCGGATTCGACGTCAATCGACGTCGAGCTCAATGTCGGTCGGCGTCGAGCCTCCGACGTCAGGGGATATAAAAAAATACTTTGAACACTCCTTAAACGAGGCGGTTGGGTGGGTGACAAAACCTCAGTTTGCCTCAAGACCGTACTCTACCGTTGAAGTGTTTAAATACACTACCTCGAAATGTCAGGGAATATACTCCGTCACTTGCATTGAATTGACACGGTTTCTGGGTGCAAGTGCATTTCGTATGAGCAAAGTTAGGTGTATGCCACGTGTACTAAATTTCTTGACCTCTTGTCCCCTTGCTTTAGATGAGTTCTGTGGTTCTGCATCTGCTTCTGTACTTCGGCTTGAAGTTCCTTCAGGCGACTTGTGGTTTCCTTGGGAGACTTGTGTTTTCTTTCTTCGGAAGAAATATCGCAACCTTACCTTGCTCCTCGAGTTCATCCTGAAGTTATGGCTATGGCTCACTGCAGTGGACAGATTCTACGAACACTGACAATTTCAGTACAATACAGAAGTATTTATTGAGCAGCTCAGCTGTATTTCTGTCGTAACCAACCAACCTAAGTTGAGGTTCGCGATCCGACAGAGAACGTCATTGTTTGGTCTCCAACGTGCCATATTTCAGTCATCACAAAACTTATGTCATCTCTCTAGGGGATTTTCCGTTTGAAGCGGCGGCCGGCTCCTTTGCCTGTCAAGTCTCGCCGCGGCCTCCCTTACTTAGCCCTGCGTTTGTCACCAATGAACCTAAACCCTTGAATGTGGCCACGAACCTGTTTTGTGTTTCACACAACCGTCTGGCTACATTTGTCAGTGACGATGATGAATTTTTCAAGAAGTTTTTCGGAGAGTTGCTGGTGAGAGCAGCACGTGCACTATACAGGACGGCGCTCATTGTTTTATTCTTCTAATGCTGGCTCGAAAAAGGCTGGCACTTTTGATTGAACCAACAGGCAGAACTGACAGTCGTGTGTCGAGATTGCTTTACTGAGCCCTGGTAGTTGGTCTCTGGATTCCGAACACACATTCTACGTGCAAAGAGAACGCGTTCTCTTGCTCGTTTGTATTCCAATCTACATTGACGACGGTTTAGAGTTAGTATTCCCCTATCTAGAAAATGCTGGCAATGGATAGTAATCTCCAAACTCCAGCATGTAGCGAGGAGTGCTTTCAGGCAAGGCCTCAGAAGTCACCGATGAGTTTTCACGTGTTCCCGGCGGTCTCCTCTTGTGGAATGGCGTCAGAGACAGCAACTCCGGCAACAGGGTCGGACCTTCCAGGGTCGGACCTTCCAGGGACGGACCTTCCAGGGTCTGAACTTGGGACTTCAGGAGCGGAGAATGACTTCACTACATGGAACAGAAGAACGGAGCAATCTGTCAACAGGTGGCTGTATCGTCTTTCTAGCACCAAAGCCTCCTCTGACAGGAATGGTGATCTGGCTTCAAGCTTCAAGGAAATGGCTGCTGCTACTCAGAAATCAAGCTCTTATTCGGAGTTTGATTCTGATTCTGATTCTGATTCTGCAGCATCTGCTGCCAGACCCCCAGCAGGAGCACTCAACGGATCACCAAGTCCTGATGCTCAACACTGCCGTGATAGCACCACCGCTGCTGGTAATCCTCCCTCGTCTCTGCCTTCTTCCCAGCTTGTGGGAAGAGTCAACAGAAGGTGGTCTTTTGGGGGGAGTATCAGCAGCGGAGGCGGCGGAAGAGGAGGAGGAGTGGAAAATATGGATTTGCTTAGCCTTGAGAGCAAGCTGAGCCTGCTGGAGTCCCAGCGCCAGCTGAACGCAGTGAGATGCCAGCAGTTTGTTGACAGGTTGTGGTCAGCAGAACGGGCAGAGGAGATGGCGAGAAAAGAGGCTAGCAGGGGAGACGAGGCAGCGGAGGAAAGGGCTCGCTTGTCGGTTAACAGATCTTCTTTGGCTGGTCGGCGGTCAAACCGTCGGCGGTCAACTTCAGATTTATTGGAGAAGAGATATTACACGTGTGCTGCTGGCTCGGCTGCTGGTCGAGCTAGTCGTGGTGGTTGTGCTGGTGAATCACCTGAGGAATCCCCTGATAATGAGAGTGACACTGCAGCACGCGACGCCGCAGGTGGATTGTACACTCGCTCCTGGACGGCTGGCCGATTGAGTGAAGCTTCCCCCTCTGCCACGCTGCACCAGCACTGGGCTAGCAAGCCCACGGAGTGGAAGCTCCATAGTGGGAGGGCCCATGGAGAGAAGCATCGGCGCAGCTTCAGCCAGTCGTCTGCGCCATTTCATTCCCGCAGCTTTCAGCGCAGGCTCACTTCAAGCCCGCCTCTGGTGAATCAGAACCCATTGCGGAGCAGTTTGAGTTCAAAGCTGTCCCTGGAGAATGCGGGCAGTTTAAACTCATCCATGACCAGTTTGGGGTCGTCAAGCCCGCCGCTGGCCAGTTTGAGCTTGAGCCAATCTCTGGAGAATATGAGTTTATCTCAGACGAATGCGGATGAGGTTGGTGGTGCGAGGTTGCTCGGTCGGAGCCGAAGCAGCAGCAACAGGCACAGCAGAAGCAACACCCGGAGCAGCAACAGCATCGGAGCGCATTCGTTCAGGCGCAGGTCGCCTACTAATCCGTGGCAATCCATTTCCAACCATGGAGATGGAGAGCTAGAGGAGAAGGACAATTCTCTTGCTGCAGACAAGGGTACCGGTATTCGTCGCATCTCCTCGCATGGCCACTCTCTCCCACCCTTGAACTACCGGTCCTCTTCGAGCCCTATGCGATCACACACATACCCGAAGGAGCATCGGGATGTGGTAGATGGAGGCATAAGAAGTCACAGGGAAGAATTGCCCAGACGTATCCGGTTTTCAAGAGCATGGGCGTGGGAGGTCACAGAAATGTGTTCGCTCACTTGGATGATGACACATGATCTGTCATGATCCTACCGGTATTCCTCATTCTCCTTTTTTGTACCATGGGGCAGAAGCCACTACTTCCTTCTAGATCTTGTGCCTGTTTTCCCAAATGTAGGGAAGCAGGTGATATTATAGTATTAGTACGCACCGTATGTAAGGGCTACTACTGTATATTATTCAACTCCTGGGTCCCCCATTCAAGCATGCCATGCCAACTATTATGCTACCCTACCGTATAGAGCTCAAAATTCTTTCTGTCCAGCCCTGTTTGGCGGCAACCAAACCACATCCTTCCTCTGTCTGCTCCAGAGACACCAGCACCTGTGCAGTCAACCGTTCAAGAAGTAGCTCCCATCCGTGCTGCCTAGCCCTTGCCTGGACATTCCACGCCTGAAGTGTGAAAACCTTAGAGCCACTCCCACATCAACACCACCACCCCACCCCAGCACTGTCAACCGGCCATCTCTCCTCCAAAAACCAGGCTGAGAGGTGGCATCACTCCAGTCTAACCGCCCTCCCAGCCCCTCACAGCCCTTCACAGCCCCTCACAACCCCTCACAGCCCTTCACAGCCCCTCACAACCCCTCACAGCCCCTCACAGCCTCGCAGTATGCCCTCCCTTCCCGCCCACGCCCCTCTGCGCCCCCTGCTGCCGGCGGCTCTCATTACTCTCCGCCACGCGGCTGGCTTGCTGCGAGGGCGGCATGTACAGGAACAGCTGCGACGGCTCTGCAGTGCGCACCTCGTACTCCAAGCTGCGCTGCTGCTCCTCCTCCCCTCCCGCTCCTCCTCCTCCTCCTCCTCCTCCTCTCTTGCTCCTGCTGTTGCTACCGCCGCTGGTGTCACTGCCGTGACCGCTCGCGCTGCTGTGGTTGTCTTTATCGGCGTACGGACAGCCGCAGCCGCCCGTGCTGCTGGTGCTCGCGCTGCTGCCCGGACCCGCAGCACTCCCGCCGCTGCTCGCACCGCCAGCCCCTTGGCTGGTGCTGCTGCTGCGGCCGGTGCTGCTGCTGGTGCTGCTGCTGACGCCATAAGTCTTCTCCCGCTGCGACGCGAGCGACCCCTCCGCCTGCTCGTCCGGGTCGCAGATCTCCTGCACGTGTATGATCGCCGTAGACCCGCTCCCGCTGCCGCGGCGGCCGCTGTCGCTGCTGCCCGGAGGGCCCAGGCGCAGCACGCGTTCGTGCTGCCTGTCGGGCGGCGCGTAGAGCGTCAGTTGGGTCTTCGTGAAACTCGCTGGCGCGACGTCGTCAGGTGTCGCCATGGTGGCGTACTCCAGCACGGATCCGATCGATCGGATGTTTCTAGGGTCTGCTTCTAAAGGTGGCGGAGTGGAGACTACTAGCAGAGCGTTGCTTGCGCGCGCGATTTACCGTTTCGGCCTGCTTCGGAAGCTTTGGGGAACGATGAAACGAACAGGACCAGCAGTCCCGCCTCTTTTCCTCCCGCCTGACAAAATGGGTCGACATGGCTGTTTCTCCGTTGACTCGACATCCACGCGAAACTCCGTTACTGGCGGTCTATATTCCATGACAGCATAACTGGACTGGAACAGGGGGTGCGCAGCGCAGTAACCTGCATGAGGGTTGTACATGTGACCGGGGAATGCGCCGAGGGGAACACGTGGCGGTAAAGTTTATATTGTTAGTTTTCTGAGGTTGCTGCCAATGGATTTGTGGCTGTGTGCGGGTCGCGGTTTTAGGTACCAGCCTATTTTTGGTTTTGGATCGATTTTTACAAGTCGTCAGTTTCTACGTAGTGGTGCACGGGTAACGCACCAATACTGTATCGAGTACAAACGACTCACTGAACTGTTACATCACGCGTGATCGAAGTGATCGTCTGTCTGTTACCATAGACAGCGAATTAGACCGTTACTTCCCTCCCGATCTCAGCCAACACTTCTTTTCATTTTGAAAAGAAGCATCCAATATCGCAGCTGCTTTTACGACGTCCCAAACCAGGCCTGCCAGCCCCAGCCACGTGAAACTGTGGTGTGGTCCCACGGCTGGGTCTCTAAATGGCGACAGCGCGGCTGCCGCATCTGCCCTCGGCAGCGCGGCCCGTTCAGGAAAGGGGCATGCATGGATGAGGTGCTCTGCGTTCATCCATGTCAGAATCATTCCGTGCCGCAAACCCTAGTACAGCAACTTGGTTGGCGTGCGTACTATTCTTGGTTGTGGTTCCGTGGTCGACGATAGTGAGCGAGAATTTCCTGCTTCTGCTCCCTTCGTAGCTTTCGTGCGAGCAGGTTCGATCGACAGCGAAGATGTTACCTCTCGTGCCACTGCGACGACTGCTGCTGCCTTCTGGGATTCGTTGCCGTCAGCAGCAAAGCGGACTGCCAGGTTCCGATAGCGCCCTTCTGCCAAACCCTTGCTACCGTGGCACTGTCCGGTAACGCTGTCCGTTCGATTTGCAGCGAGCTTCACCTCTCCCACCGCCTCGTGCGGACCCTCGTGGCGCGCATGAGCAGCACAGGGCGCGCGGTACCAGGCGCGGCGCAGCCCGCTCCGCGGGAGGCGCGCGGATGCTCCACGGATGCCTCGAGCGCTGCACGCGCTTCTGGCGGAGGCGACTTGGGGGAGGGAAGGATGATAGTTGTTCCTTTGGGCCCATCTCTCCCAGGAAGAACTGTCCGTGGTGAAAGTGGCAGTGGACCTCGCTGTGTAGCCGCTGACACGGGAAGCAGCAGCAGCACCACCACCGCCACCGACACTGAGGGGTCAGATGATGGACCAGGGGACTCAAATCATGCCCAAGGCGAAGGCGAAGGCGAAGGTGATGAGGAGAACGTCTCAGTCACCTTAGTGTGTGAGGAGGTGGTGGAGCAGGTGGGTGAAGAGGTGGGGGAGATGGCGGTGGTGGCAGTAGGGCCCTTGGAGCTGCTCCTGCTCCTGCTGATGGCCATGGCAGTGGGGATAAGGGCTGCTGCATGGTGGCGGAGGCAGCCCGCATGGGCATGGTTATTGTGCACACTATTCCGCCGCTGCTGCTGGTCAAGAGCCTTGTGGTGTGGTAGGAGCTGTCTGATGGATGCAATACCAGCCACTGCGTGTGGCTCTCATTTCCTCAGCTGCTTTGGGTTGTTGTTGCCACAAGGGCTGGATCGAGCTGTACACGTGGCAAGAGGGCTGTGACTTGAGAGGTCTCCTTGATGGTGTGGTAGAAGCCAAGGCGGGTTGCGAGACTGCTTAGATGTAGGTGCGCTTTACCAACTGTTTCACTAGGGAGTCTGGGAAACAGGTGCATCAGGCAGGGTACCGTACCGCATATATCCACACTTTTTGTGCTATATAACCAGCTCTTCGCGCACCATCACAAGACCACGTGCAAATCAGTACTATGATCAGACAAGTGTCTATGTACAATGATTCCCTGAAACGTGGCACTTGCACATGTCAGCACTCTTTCAAAGCCTCAATCACTTGTGAGAAAGTGCAACGGATGCATTCCTCCCACATGCGCAAGTTCACTTGGGTCCCATCACGTCCTCTTTTCCTTGTCCTGCTCCAACGAAGCTTGCCTGCAGTTCTTATCCGCCGCAGACTGCAGAGTGGCCGCAGGCCCTCCTGATCGTATCTGCACGTGCAGGGAGAGTGGAAGAGAGTGCGGACAGAGAGAGAGAGAGAGAGTGAAGCAGGAGAAAGGGGGAGATGGAGAGTGAGGAAGGAGGGAGAGGGCGAAAGCAGATCAGGGTGAACAGGGCCAAAATGAAAGCACGGGCCAGGACCTTGTGCAGCATGGTGCAGAATGTCAGAAAACCTTCACTTCGCCAATTATGAAAAAAAAGTGGAAATTGCTGTAAAACAACACTAGCTGGAATGCGTGTTGACCTACTGGTAGTGTTACCTCGAGGTTCATTTTCTCCTCCGCGCTCTGCTGCTTAGCCGCATCTTCCTTGGTCACAGGCCGGCCCACGTCCTCCTCCCTCAGGGTCGCCTTGGGCATGACGTCACCCATCGTGATGGGCTTGTCCGTGGCCCTTCCAAGTGGAGACATGTCTTTATCCAGGGCTTCCAGCCCGCCGCGCTCCGCGACTGCTTCCTTTCGCTCGTGCAGCTTCTCCTGCTCCTGCGACATGGCGACGCGAGAGGCGGAACAGGGGAGGAGTTACGCGCGGGGAGCTTCTGTGGATTACTAGGAGGTGACCAATTGGTGGCTGAGTGCGGAAATCTGAAGAGTTCTGAGTGAAACCAGGCTGCAAGACTATATGATCGAGTGATTTCGGGGTAAAGGACGTACGTTGCAACATTTAGGAAACCATGAAGCCTCACTAGACCCACCGTCCATCGCTTAGAGCGTGCCGGATTATGGTTCCCCGACTCGAGTAGGGAGTGGTTTCAAAGGCAGTAAAGCGGCGGGAGGGAGCGGGCGTTATCAATATCGTACGTGGCAGCACAAGAAAGACGAGCAGAGAGGACAGCCATGCAGGTTAGGAGGTGCGCGATGCGATGGAGTGATGGGTTTACGAGATTCTTCGAAACCGCTGATGCTGGTGAACGAATGTAAACTTCCATACGCGTTAATATGCTCTTCGTTTCACTAAAGCCACCCCTAACTGCACAACAATGTTTCTACTGTACCCTTCCCTCATCGCATCCAACCCAACCCATCCTGCCAAACCGAAATTACAGGGTGTGTCCAGTCTGGTGGTCTTCTCGTCACCCAGATTCCTTGCGACCAGCCCGCATGCACAGCCCAGTCTGCCTCCGTCTTTCACGCCTTCCGCAGACGCTGCTGCCGTACCGCATTTCAATACCAGAGCCGGCATGGCTGGCGCTCGTGTGAAGCTGGCCACCACGTGTTGCGTCTCCTCCGCCCATGCACGCTCGCATCGCTGCAGGGAAGACGCGATAGTTGTCAAATTTATTCTGCTCTTCCCCCCGTCCCATCAGAACATCTCGAGTCGCTGGGCTCGCGCCGTCCAAGCCGATTGACGCGGCGCTCGGGCTAGTATGAATAACGTCGCCTCGCTACAAAGGGAAAATCGTCGTGATTTGCGCATCTGAACTTCCTCTCTTACCTCGATCCCCGTGTTGCTTTCAGAATAAGACTACTGTTCCTTCTTCGCTGTTCCTTTATAATCTGCATCACATGGCGCAGCTTCAGCCTCGGCGGCAGACCAGGGAGCCCACCGCGGAGCAGACGGGCGGGCCGATATCGAAATCCGACGAGACCACCGCCGCGGAGCAGACACGTGGCGTCACCTCCGTCACCACCGGCGCGGACCCCGGCGCGCAGGAGCGCGGCGCCGCAGGCGCCGGGTCGACCGGCAAGCAAGTGCGGCTCGGCGGCGGCGGCGCGCGGGGCGGAAGCGCGGGGGTGGATGAAACGCCTGCAGGGCCGATTCAAGGCATGGAGGGCGGGCCAACGGCGGGCATGGGCGCGCCGATCCGCATGGGGGACGTGCTGCCGGGGGAGCAGCTGAGCGCGGAGGAGAAGAGCCGGCCTGTTACCAAGGCGGACGCCGCTGAAGCGCAGCGCGAGGAGACTGCAGCTCATGGCGCGGTGCGTTTTCTAAACACCTTTAATGCTGTGTCAACCAATTTTACTGTGCTCGTTTGGTCTCGTTCTTCTTGGAATCCTTTTCACTGTGCCTCACCCGCTCTGCCATTTCAGAGTGCTTGTATGCTACTCTCCATTCCATTTCCCAGCTTGATCCACTTTTCCCCCCCACCCTCACCCCTTTCCCCAGCCCGTGAAGGGCGGAACAGCAGCCACGCTGCAGTCAGCGGCGGACAAGAACGTGCAGGCGGGGGTGGTGCCGTCGATGAAAAGGGAAAAGGCCTCTGCGCGCACGGGATCCCTCGAGTCTGGGTCTGCAGGCCCGCCTGGTGCCACTGCTGGGGAGACGCACACCAAGGGCGGCTGAGATGATATGAGAGTCTCGAGTCTCTGGACCGTACTGCTTGTGCTGCTGACAGGGAGACACCAGCTATGCATTCAGCCTGGTTTGCAGTGCAGAGTGGGTATGGAAATGGATAAAATTAGCAGTTACTCTTCAATGTTGCATCTGTTCAATGCTGTTTCTAAGATAGGGAATTGTGGGAAGCTCTGTTAGCAAGAGAGGATGTACAGAAACTTTTTGCTTCCAAAGCCAACCACCATCTTAGTGATACGGTAGTACCGTACCAGTGCCTCAGAAAGGCATGGAGCTTACCCTTCTCCTAGCAGGAAGGAACTGTCTACTGATAATCTCCTTTCCTCTGTGCTATCATGCCTCTAACCTGATGTCTAACCTCTTCTAGTAGAACCAGTACCTGAAGGACATGGCATGGAGCCACTGATTAGGTAAAAGGTAACCATTTTCAAGTCAATAACAGTTGTGCTACTGGAAATCAAGAAACGGTTGATTGATAGACCGAGTGCGTGACAATGGATAATATTGATCAATACACACCAGCCTACTAGAAATAAATGCACACATTCCAAGCTGGCAATCATGATTCTTTCGCATTCACCTGAATCCTCCCTGGCTGCTCCAGCAGCGTCTGGGGCAAGTCCTCCAATTGGCTGCACCCCTCCAGATACACCTCGCGCAAATTCCCTGCCCTCCCCAACCCCTCGGGCAGCTCGCTGAAATTTTTGCACTCCTGCACTTGCAGCACCTGCAGCGAAGCCAGGCATGAAACGGCTGCAGGCAGCTTGAGCAGCAGCGGCAGATTGTTGAGCGTGAGAGAGGTGAGAGAGGCGAGATTGCCGAATCCTTCCTCTGATAGAGAGGAGAAGGTCTTACAGTCGGAGATCATGAGGTGCTGCAGGGAGGTGAGGAGGGTGAGGGAGGCCGGGAGCGTTGAGAGCTTCGGCGCGGTGTCTATGGTTAGTACACGCAGCCCTTGCATCTGCCCGAGGTCCTCGGGCAGGTTGGAAAATTCCATGCGGCTGAGATGTAGGCGCTGGAGGTGAGTGAGGGCTGTGAGAGGAGGGAGAGGGGAGAGTGAGGGGAGGGTGTGCAGGGTCAGGAGCCTGAGTTTCTGTAGTGTGTGGATGTTGGGTATTGAGAGGGGGGAGACAAGGGACAGGTCGTAAAGAGAGAGGGTTTCGAGTGAGGATACAATGGGAACTGTTTTGAGCGATGGGATGTGTTCGATGCGCAAGTGCTGGAGGGAGGAGAGGTGGGAGATGGCATGCTGCATGTCACTGGTATCCTTTAGCGTGTTGGACAAGAATAGGGTTTGCAGGGTGGGTGGGAAGGGCGAGGACGAGGGAGGGGGCGTGAGGCTGGTGAGTTTGACACAGTCACGAATGTCGAGATGAAGGAGGGAGGGGAGGAGGTGGAGACCTGAAGGGAGGGAGGTGAGGGAGGGGCACTTGAGGATGAGGAGGCGGCGGAGGGATGGGAGTGGGTGGGGAGAGGAGGGATGGTGTGAATGCTGAGAGGGGTCTGTGTCACCGGAACATGGAGTATGTTCAATGGGAGGAACGTGGGAAGCGGTAGCAGCAGCAGCGGCAGATGCAGAAGCAGAAGCAGCAGCAGCGGCAGCATCAGCGGCAGCGGTAGCAGAGGCAGCAGCGGAAGTAGCATCAGCAGCAGCAGTAGTGGAAGCAGCAACCGAAGCCGCAGCAGCGGCAGCATTAGCACCACCAGAAGCAGAAGCAACAGTAGAAGAAGCAGCTGTAGCAGACGTAGCAGCAGCAGCAGCAGCATCAGCAGCAGCAGCAGCAGCAGCGGCAACAGCCGCAGCAGCAGTAGCAGCAGCAGCAGCAACAGGAGGAGGAGGAGGGGTAAGTGGAGGCAGCGTCTGCAGCAGCTTGCAGCGCGACAGCTCTAGCTCCTGCAGGCCCACAAGGCTGCCCCACCCTGCCGGCACACGTCTCAGCTTGTGGCAGTTGGAGATGCACAGCCGCTGCAGGCGAGTCAGCTGGGTGAGTGATGCTGGCAGCTGCCTCAGCTCATGGCACCCGTGGATCTCCAGGGCAGTTAACGAATTTGCAAGCTGCCCGAACGAGCGCGGCAGGCGAGTGAAAACTGTCTCAGGTGCATCTTCCTCCTCCTGATCCTCCTCCCTGTTATTGTTGTTGTCTGAACGTACAGGGTCAAATATGTACGTTGGACGGCCTAGTTTCCGATCATCCTGGATAGTTACCAAGCGCTTCCATCCCAGAGTAAGGCTTTCAAGGCGGGGCAGTTGCGAAAAGCACTCAGGAAGGGTTTCCAGCAGTTCGCATCCGGCTATTTCTACCGTGCGAAGCGCTGTCAGCTGCCCGATAGTTTCGGGCAGGTTATCCATATTCTCGACGCTTTGGATGGTGAGGCTCTCAAGCTGAGATAGAGTGATCGGCAGAAATAGGTAACCGATATAAGCAGTAATAGTGAGACGCGTCAGCTTCAGCAGCTGCTGCCCGAACGAATCGGGCAGGTCGCACGCAAGTTGGCTCAGATGCAGCTCCGTCAGTGCGGGCAGCTGCCCGAAATCTCCGGGCAGCGATTCCAAGGAACACTCGAGAAGGTGCAGGCGAGAGAGCGAGCACAGCCCCCCGAAAGACGCTGGCAGCGACACTAGCTCCTGACAATGCGCTGCGTGAAGGTGCGTTAGGGAGGAGAGGAGAGCTAGAGAGTCCGGAATTGCCGCAAGGGAGGGGAGAAAGTCGAGGACGAGGGATGCGAGGCGGGGAGCGTCACCGATATCGTCTGGTAAGGAGGCGAGAGAATCGCAGTGCTGAACGGTGAGAGCAGTGAGGGAGGAGAGGGCAGCGAGCGAGGGCGGGAGAGCAGTCAAGCGCGCGCAAAACTTTATCTCCAGCTCTTGCAGGGACGGCAGCTTTCCAACGCAGGCAGGGAGCGAGTGCATGTGCGAGAGGTGGGAGAGGAGGAGGCGTTTGAGAGAGGAGAGGTGGGCGGAGGAGTCTGGGAGAGAGGCGGCATTGATGTTGCGCAGGTGGAGGGTTTCGAGGGATGATAAGAGGCCGATGGAGTCGGGCAGGGATTGCAAAGAATTTAACTTCGCCAGCTCCAGGTATTGTAGTTTTTTTAGCTGCCCGAGGCCGTCGGGCAGCTGCCGGAGAGCAACGCAGCCGTCGATTTTCAGGGAGGTGAGGGAGCGGAGGCGGGAGAGGGTGTGCGGGAGGGCGCGCACGTAAGCAGCGCGGATGCGAAGCGACCGTAGCGCGGACAGCGCGCCAACGCTCTCGGGGAACCGCGCCTCGGGGTCTGGAACCGGCCTGGAGTCGCGGTCGTCTCGCGCGCACGAAACGTCCAGCCGCGTCAGCCGCTGCAGAAGGCTCACGGAAGCGGGCAGCTCGAGCAGGCACAGGGGCAGAAAAAGTTTCAAGCTGACCAGGTTGCGGCAGGCGGCGAAAAGGGCGGTAACGGCGGGCTCTGTTACAGTCGCAACGGCGTCGTCAGGATCGTCATCGTCTAAGCCGCCGTAATACTGATCCCAGGAGCGCAGGTTGATGTGGCGATAGAGGGACATGTGCGTGAGGGAGGGCGCGCACCCCGTGGCGATGGAGTGAAGGAGATCGTCTGATATGGCGTCTAAAGCTGATGGGCCGATGTGCAGGTGCCGCAGGGTGAGCGGAGAAAGGAGGGGAAAGGAGGGGGAAACGGCGGAGGCGGAGGCGGAGGGGGTGGTGGCGCGGGAAGGAGGGGAGGTGCTGGTGGGAGGGGAGGGGGAGAGGTGGAAAGGGGAGGAGGAAGGAGCGGAAGGTTTGGGTGGAAAGGCGGCGGTCGGCTTGCAGGAGGATGGCGGGGAGGCTGAAGCGCGCCAAGCGGAGCCAGCGCTTGCACACGAGCGCGTGGCGGAACACGGTGAACGGCGGAGGCGGAGGCGGAGGCGGAAGGGACGCGGAGTCCGCGGAGGTCCCGGGGAGAGGGGGCGGATAAGCGGAGGCGAGGATATGAGCAGCTGACGGCGTGTCGGGGTCGTCAGGGTCGATGTGGAGGGTCATGGTTCGAGCGTAGTTGGCGGCGGTCGCTTCAGCCTCGAGGGCTATGGCGGTGGTGAGCTGGATAACACGTGCGAAACGCGCGCACGGTTTCTTCACTGCCCGCGCGATGCACTCGTCCAGCTCGTCCTCGCTCGCGTCGCCATGCGCATCCTTGTCCTCGCTGTTGGCCGACCCGTTAACAGCAATCGCCTTGTTTCCAGCCATCCCATCAGCACGCTCCGCAGAGGCACGGTTGGTCCCGTCTCCACCAGCATTAGCTTCCGCCGCGGCAGAAACGGCGACAGCGGCGGCGGCGGCGGCGGCGGCGGCGGCGGTGGCGATGGTGGTGCCAGGGGTAGCAGTGGCGGCTGTGAGGCGCGGGTTGGGGTGGAAGCGGAAACGTTTAGAGGCGACGAGCGCAAGAATGTGCGCGACGAGATCATCCGACAGACGTGCGAAAGGATCAGGATCGAGGCGGCGTGGCCGAGGAGAAGAGCCATCGTTGAACGAATCCATTTGAAACTCCACGCTTGATGAGATGCGCGGAACAAGGGCGCTCAGCGCGCGCCGAAGGAGCTGCACGTGTGATGCTTGTGAAAGTTGGTGAAGTGAGAATGGCACGGGACTCTGCTGTGAGGGAGGTGCTGCGCTGTGAGAGTTAGGAGGTTCAGGGTGTCGCGGGGCAAGAGAAAAAGTAGAGCAGTTTCGAGTGTTGAGTTCCACTCGAGCGTTTGAAATTTCGCACATCGAAGGGCGCGTGACATTTGAGTTCAAATCTATTGCGGGTGGATGCGATTCTGTGCGTGTTTGAGCGGTTTGTTCACACTTCGGTACGTTTGGGTAAGGTTTTGAGCAGAATCGAACCTCCCCTGACATTCTGGAGGTTGGCGCATCACCGCGCATGAATACATCAAACCGAACAAACCACCCTTCAAACCGAACTACATTTCTCGGTTTCCCCCGCTTCCATCCCTCGCCTCGCGACGCCATCTTGGTTTCATGCCCGCGCCAAGCGCCAGCAGCGGGCAGCTCCATAGTGCAGTGGAAGCTTGGAGCAGGTTGAGGTGAGGTCCTTCCTACCCTACTGGCACGCGCTTCTGAGCCCGCATGCACGCGGGGGGCTTCCTGCCGCATCCCAGCAACACATGTTCTGTAAAGCCCGACTTGACAACAAGTCTTGCTGCATCTGCTCTGGCTCGTCACCCGCGCCGAGCCGAGCCGAGCCGGCATGACCATCGTTCGTATGAAATCGGACACCACGTGTGTAGGTCCTTCGCCCATGCACGCTCGCGTCGCGACGCCATCCGTCCGAATCCATTCCTTATTCTTCTACCACGCACCCCGCATGGCGGTTCCCGTCCCAGCATCTCCAATCGCGGGAGTAACGCGGCTCGGCGTCTCGCATCGCGAACGCGCGTCGGCGAGGCGACGATGTAGGAGCATTCCAGTGTAGCATAATAAGAGACGCAGTTAACAACTGAGTTGTTGTCCAGAGCTCCACGCGTGAATTCTCACCCCACGTGTGATTAGTAGTCTCTCCTTCTTGCGCCGCATCCACTTCAAGGAAGCGCGCCGATTCTTCACAGAACGACTCGTTCTATCTAGCTTTGATCCGTTTGAGCTCAGCTCCCTGCGACTCCGGAATCTTCGAGTATCCATGGCGCAGCAGCAGAGGCGAACCAGCAAGCCCGCCGCCGAGCAGCCCCCCGCGCCGGCCGCCGGGACTGCCGCGCAGGAGACACGTGACGTCCCCTCCGCCGCTCCCGGCGCGTATGGCGGCGGGACGGCTGCTGGAGCGAAAGCGCCGATCCGCATGGGGGACGTGCTGCCGGGGGAGCAGCTGAGCGCGGAGGAGAGGCGCCGCCCCGTCACTAAGGCGGACGCCGCCAAAGCTGAACAGATGGAGTCTATGACTCACGGCGGGGTGCGATCTTCTTAACCCTGATCCGTCTTGTATCACACGTATCTACAACGCGGCCTGAGTGTATGCTTTTGAAAGCGATCGCAGTGGCGAGAGCAAATTTTCCCCTCCCCTCCCTCGTCTCCCTTTCTGCCCCTCCCCAGCCCGTGAAGGGCGGAACAGCAGCGGCGCTGCAGTCAGCGGCGGACAAGAACGTGCAGGCGGAGAAAGCGGGGATGAGCGCGACGATCCGCATGGGGGACGTGCTGCCGGGGCAGCAGCTGAGCGCGGAGGAGAAGAGTCGCCCTGTCACCAAGGCGGACGCTGCTAGAGCTGAACAGATGGAGTCTATGACTCACGGAATTGTACCTTCTTACGAGAAGAATGAAAGTTGCGGATGCTGGTTGTTCTTCTGTCTCCCCAATTTTATTTAGCCAAAGTTTTTTTTAACGTCCATATTACAACTCACGCATGGATGTATTCATGTGAGTGTGAATCCAGTGGCGGTTTCTATAAGTCCAGGCCTGAGCACCAGCATCTCTGATTTCTCCTCCGGCCTACCCTCCCTCCACTCTCTCTCTCCCCTTGTGTCCATCCCTACCCCACCTCAGCCCGTGAAGGGCGGCACAGCAGCGGCGCTGCAGTCAGCGGCGGACAAGAACGTGCAGGCGGGGGTGGTGCCGCCTCGGCAGCAAGAGAAGGCTGATGCTGCTGCTGGGGCAGCAGGATTAGGGGCAGCAGGAGGGGCAGCAGGGAAAAAATGGGTGGATTAGGAGGAACTGGTGCTGCTGCTGGGAGGCCTCAGCTCAGGGGTGAGTGATTTACGGGTGAGATAGATAACTAGAGTTGAAGTGAAGAAGGGTAGCATAGCAGTACCTAGGAGTGGCATTGCTGCTGCTGAAGCTATGGGTTATTAGGGCGCGTGTCCTTGAGGTCAAACTTGTGCCAAAGTTCGGACTTCTGGAAAGATTGCACACGGTAAGATACTTTTGAGAGATGAGTCGCCATGGTACATAGCGGTACCAGGCTCAAACTTTGACAATTTACACCAAAAGACACGCTTTCTCACCAAACGTTATTTCGGGTCTGCTCCTTGACCTGTCCTTGCTGTACCTACACATTCACAACGACAAACCTCCCCTGACATACGGAAGGTTGGTGCATCACCGCGCATGAACACATCGAATCGAACAACCACCCTTCAAACCGGATTCGACTTCTCGGTTTCTCTCGCCTCCATCCCTCGCCTCCCCACGCCATCTTGGTTTCATGCCACGCCAAGCGCCAGTTGCGGCCATATCTTAGTGCAATCTTCCACGTGCTTCCTACTGGGCTGAGATCCTTCCTCCTGGCACGTGCTTCTGAGCCCGCATGCACGCGAGAGGCTTCTTGCTGCATCCCAGCAACAAGTCTTGTGCATCTTATGCAACGTCTGACAACAAGTCTTGCGGCATTTGCTCTGGCTTGTAACCCGCACAGCGCCGAGCCGGCATGACCATCGCTCGTATGAATCTGGACACCACGTGTGTACGTCCTTCACCCATGCACGCTCGCGCCGCGACGCCATCCTTCCGAATCCATACCATTTTTGCACCACGCACCGCGCATGGCGGTTCCCGTCCCAGCATCTCCAGTCGCGGGAGTAACGCTGCTCGGTATCTCGCATCGCGTACGCGCGTCGGCAAGGAGACGATGTAGGAGTATCCCGGTGCAGCAGCATAAGAGCCGCTCTTAGCAGCTGCGTTGTCATCCAGAGCTCCTCGCGCGAATTCTCAGAGAGTTATTTCTCAGAGAGTTATTTCTCTCCGACTTTGGCGCATCCTTTTTAAAACAGAGCGACCGTACAAACGACTCGTTGGGAATATCTCCGATCGGTTTTCGCGGCTCCAAAATCCACAAGTATTCATGGCGCAGCAACTTAGGCGAACCAGCAAGCCCGCCGCCGAGCAGCCTCCCGCTCCGGCCGCCGGGATTGCCGCGCAGGAGACACGTGGCGTCCCCTCCGCCGCTCCCGGCGCGTACGGCGGCGGCCCCGCTGCTGGAGCGGGAGCGCCGATCCGCATGGGGGACGTGCTGCCGGGGGAGCAGCTGAGCGCGGAGGAGAGGCGCCGCCCCGTCACCAAGGCGGACGCCGCCAGAGCTGAACAGATGGAGTCGATGACTCATGGCGGGGTGAGTTGTAGAGTTCTCAACTCACCAAGATTTCGGAGTTTTAGTAAGTTGATGCGGAGTAACGTGTGGTGCGGCGCGGTGCTGGTACATACCACCTCGATGTGAAGTCTCTCCATCTTCTAACACACTCCTGTGAAGTCCCTCTATCTATTACGCGGCCTGAGTACGGTATATCCTTCTGAAAGTGACTGAACCGGCCCCGTTTCCCCACCTTCCCTCGCTCCCTGCCGTCCGTCCCCAGCCCGTGAAGGGCGGAACAGCAGCAGCGCTGCAGTCAGCGGCGGACAAGAACGTGCAGGCGGGGGTGGTGCCGCCCATGACGCAAGAGAAAGCGCGCATGGCCGCGGCGATCCGCATGGGGGACGTGGTGCCGCGGCGATCCGCATGGGGGCCGGGGGAGCGTCTGAGCGCGGAGGAGAAGAGCCGCCCCGTCACCAAGGCGGACGCTGCTGAAGCTGAACAGATGGAGTCGATGACTCACGGCGGGGTGAGAATCAAGCGTAGTATATTTCTAGGTTCTTCTATCAAGTTGTTGATTCCCTGATCTTGCATCGCTTATATCCCTAATAAATGCCTGGGTGCGAATTCAGTGGCGGTGTTTAGGCGACCAGGCCTGGGCGCAAATGGCGCTGGCTTTTCCTATGCGCCCCACCTCTTCCCCGCTCTCCCCTTCTGTCCATCCCTACCCCACCTCAGCCCCTGAAGGGCGGAACAGCAGCGGCGCTGCAGTCAGCGGCGGACCAGAACGTGCAGGCGGGGGTGGTGCCGCCTCGGCAGCAAGAGAAGGCTGATGCTCGTGCTAAAGCCACAGGTGCAGGGGCAGCAGGAGGAGCAGCAGGGAAAAAATGGGTGGATTAGGAGGAACTGGTGCTGCTGCTGGGAGGCCACAGCTCAGGGGCGAGTGATTTACGGAGTGGCATTGCTGCTGCTGAAGCTGTGGGTTATTACCGAACGTTGCTGCTTGTCTTTTCCCAGTGACCTGTCCTTGGTGTACCTACACATTCAGTCACATATCGCAGCATACCTATCGACCCCTTGTAAATTTGGTTATGTTGACTGATTTGTGGTAAGGAAGCTGCTTTGTTGTCATTTGACAAATGTAAAACAAACAGTGGTGAATAGATCAAAAGCGCTGCCCTCAAATGAGGTGCTTTCTCTGTCAAAACTGCATGCTATCCCACAAGGCCAATATCCCAGGAGCAGTATTGTACCGGTATATTGCCGAGATCCCGCTCGGAAAATTCTAGGTTATTTTTGTTGGGCTGAGATAAGCCCTTAGGATCTTTTCAGGGGTGAACTCTGGGTAGTGTGAGAATCTAGCAGCAGGAATGGATGAACTAACAGGATGCAGGAGTACAAGTAGTAAACCCTAATTGGGTTGTACCCCATATGGGCTACCCCACTACAGCCTAAACAATATGCAGCACATATAGTTTGACACACCCCCATAGGCAAAGTGGGGGAGAACAAGGGGTCACACGACCAGTCAAGAGAAGCAAAACAAGCTCAGGGTGGATCACAACGTCACCACGCATTCCGAGCACAAGCAAAAGGCCACAGGGCCAGTTCACATGCAGAGATATATATGCAGCAACAACAGTACAGTGATAGCTACCTAGCAAGAGCCAGCATGCAGGTATATATATAGATCACAGTACAAGCAGAGACTACAGCAAGTGTGGAAACGTAGGCACAAGGCCCAACAGAGTACAAAAGCGCTGATGATCACCAGACGAAAGTGCCTTGGTGAATATATCAGCAGTGTTGGCCCGAGTGGCCACGTGGCGAAGACGAAGCTGGCCTCGCTGCTGCAACTCTCGAGCCAGGAAGTAACGCAAAGCAATGTGCTTCGTTTTGTGCTCCAGTCTGTGCTCCTCACACAAGGCAATGGCGGCCTTGTTGTCGACGTACAGCACTGGAGGAGAACGAGGCTGCTCTCCCAAGTCAGTCAGCAGGTAGGTGAGCCAGCGTAACTCCTGTGCAGCCATGGCTGTGGCGTAGATCTCAGCCTCACAACTGGAGCTGAGAACTGAAGACGAACGTGTAGAACGCCACGAAACTGAACCAGAGCCAAGGCCGAAGGTGTAACCCTGTGACGACCGCTGAGTAGCCTGGTCGTCAACCCAAGAAGCGTCTGAGTGTCCAGTGAGGACAACTGGGCTCGTCCCTCCAAGCACTAGCCCCATGCCTGATGTGCTGCACAAGTAGCGCAGTACCCTCTTAGCAGCAGCCATGTGCTCAGGTCGGTGCCGACCAGGAGCCACGTAGCGAGCCAGAAGACCAAGAGGGTACGCGAGGTCAGGTCGAGTGCAAGTCATCAGGTACATGAGGCAGCCGACTAGCTCTGGGTAAGGACCACTCGGCTCTACGGACTCGTCCGAAGGTGGAGCTGAGAGCGTGTGACCTGTAGCCAGAGGAGTGGCCTGTGCTGAAGACCAGGTGAAGCCGAAGCGCTGAAGGACCTGCTGCACCATGTGTGACAGAGTCAAGGTGATGGTGCGCCGTGCTCTGTCTCGGGTGATCTGCAAGCCAAGGTAGCTGCGCAGCTCACCCAAGTCTGTGCATGTGTGTCTCTTCTGCAGCTCCGACTTCACGTGGGCGAGAGCCTCAGTGTCAGCAGTGGCAAAAACCAAGTCGTCGACGTACACGAGGATGTAGAACGGCGGCAGGGAAGTGTCGGTGCGCAGAAACAGCGACGGGTCAGCAGTAGAAGGCGCAAACCCAAGAGCCGCAAGCGTAGTCCTCAGTGTGTCGTGCCACTCACGTGGCGCCTGGCGGAGACCGTAGACCGGCCGCCGGAGGCTCCACTGGGTACCAGGAGGGAACGACCCAGTGAAGCCCGGGGGGCGGCGCAGCCAGATCTCCTCGTGCAGGCTACCCTGCAAGAAAGTTGTGCTGAAGTCAAGAGAGTGAAGCTCGTAGTCACGGTGAGCAGCAACGTGCAGCAGCACCCGAAGAGTGGTCATCTTCGGGGTGGGGGAGAAGGTCTGGAAGAAGTCAACTCCCTCTCGCTGACTGAAGCCTCGAGCCACGTAACGCGCCTTGAAGACAGGCGGAGAACCCGGCGGCCGCTTCACCCTGAAAATCCACATGCCACTGACGATGTTCGCCCCAGGTTGGGGAACCTTGTCAACGTAGGTGCCTGTGGACTTCCAGGAAGCCATCTCTGCGTCCATGGCTGCCTGCCACTGAGAGGAGTAGGGACCCTCTATCGCCTCTGCGTAAGAGCGCGGAGTCGGGATGTCTGGTGCATCCGGGTCTCCCTCAGGGGCAAGTAGCGAGGACACAAGATGAGGTAAAGCAGCAGCAAGACACTGGAACTCCTCCTGCCTGTCCTCAAGGACGTCCGTGCTAAGAGCACACTCACCCCCGACGGACGGGGGACAGACAGACTCAGACTCAGCAACAAGACTAGCGGCGTAGTCTAGACGACAGGCAGCAGCAAAGTCAACAAGCTCAGCGACCAAGGCAGACGCAGCAGTAGACTCAAACGACGGGTCAGTGACAACAGTGGCTAGGAGACGCGTGACAGTAGGGTGCTCAGTACGAAACCGGTCAGACTCAGGGTCCGGAACGGCAGGCAGAGAGGACGCAGGGGGAGACGGCAGAGGAACAGGCTGCGGAGCAGAGGAAGGATGACGGACAACAAGGTGTGCGCTCGGGACAGCCGGCTGACGCGCACGAGCGACACGACGAACGGTACGACCAGAACGAACGGGCGAGACAGGACGCGACGCAGGCTCACGACGCGTAGCAGGACTGCCTGTCTGCTCAGTGTAAGGAGAGGGAGCCAGTCTGTAACGGAAGACCAGTAGACGACGGGAGAGTAACAACCTGACGAAGAGCAGAGTCAGGCGGCGGCAGAGACGACGGAGACGGCGGAGCGAAGAACAGTCGTGTCGGCGCAGCTGCACCAGTACCGGCAGCTCCAGCAGCTCCAGTGCCTCCAGCAGCTCCAGTACCTCCAACAGCTCCCGTACCTCCAGCAGCTCCAGAAGCTCCAGTCCCAGAGCCGACACCCCCAGTCCCAGGGTCTCCAACCTCTGTGTCTCCAGCAGCAGCACCCCCAGAACCAGCACCTCCAGTCCCAGGGTCTCCAGCCTCAGTGTCTCTAGCACGAGCACCTCCAGAACCAGCGACTCCAGCACCTCCAGTAGACAAAGGACCAGCACCACTCCTAGCTCCAGCAGCGCGACGCTGACGGCGACCGTACCAGTCCTGCAGCTGCTGTGGGGTGAGAGGCACACGTGGACGAAGGCGGCTACTCCAAGGAGACCGCGCAACAGCAGACTCAGAACCCTCAGCGCCCGCACCCCCAACGGCTCCAGAACCTCCGGTGTCAGTACCCTCAGCACCAGTACCTCCAGCGGCTCCAGAACCTCCAGCGCGAGCACCCTCAGCAGCTCCAGAACCTCCAGCTCCAGCGCCACCAGTACTAGGCCCTCCAGCAGCTCCCGAACCTCCAGCGCCAGCACCCTCAGTAGCTCCAGAACCTCCAGCGTCAGTACCGCCAAGCTCAGCACCCCCAGACCCCTCACACTCAGGCTCAGCACCACCAGGCTCCACACCCTCAAGCTCCGCACCCTCAGGCTCAGTACCCCCAGGCTCAGCACCACCAGGCTCCGCACCCCCAGGCTCAGCACCCCCAGAAGTAGCACCCCGAGCAGGACCACCCTCAGTAGGACCTGAGTCACCAGTGACCTCAACCGGCGCAGTAAAGGGAGGAGGGTCTACCTGAGAAACACCTGAAGGAGCAGGACCGGGAGCGGGGAGGGGGTCTACCTGGGGAGCACCTGGAGCGAGGAAGAGCGGCGGGGGGGGGAGCGGGGCAGTGCGGTAGGGGAAGAGACGGTAAAAGGGAACCGACTCGTCGAACGTGACGTCCTGAGACGCAAAGACACGGCGCGAGGTGGGGTGATAAAACTGCCAACCAGGCGCGTCAGGGACAAAGCCAAGGAAGACACAGGGAACAGCGCGGGCGGAGAGCTTGTCCGCGGTGGTATCGCGGACAAAGGCACGAGCACCCCAGACCCGAAAACGCGACGCATCGCCAACCTTCCCCGTCCACAGCAGTGTGGGCGAGGTCTCCGGCAAGGAGACACGGGGCCAGAGGTTGAGCTGATGCGCGGCGTACCGGACCGCAAACGGCCACAGGAAATGGGGGGCAGCCGCATGGATCATGGAGGTACGAGCGACCTCCATGACTAAGCCAATGCGGCGCTCAGCAACCCCATTTTGCTGTGGAGAGGCCGGAAGCGTGAACGACTGGGTGATGCCGTGCTCCGCACAGTAGGCTGCCAAGAGGTCTGAGGAGAACTCACCACCTCTGTCAGAGTGCAGACGGAGGACAGGAAAGTCCCGCCGGAACCGCTCGCGGAGCTGGAGACGAACAGTGCGGATCCAAGGGATCAAAACATCAGGGACGTCCCCCTTGCTCTGCAAGGGGAAGACCGTGGTGTAACGCGTGTAGTCGTCGACGACCAGCAGGAAGTACCGCTCGCGGCCCTGTCCCTGGACGCGGGCTGGGCCCCACACGTCCAGGTGGAGTGGAGCCTCTGTGGGAGGAAACGAGGAGGAGTGAGGAGCGGCGCGCTGCCGCCCCTCGACGCAAGGAATGCAGGGCGGCGCAGGCGAGGGAGGGAGGGCAGGTAGAGACCTGGGAAGACCAGAGACCAGGGAGCGAGAGTGCATGCTACGCAGGCGAGGCAAGGAGGGGTGACCAAGGCGGTGGTGCCACAGGAGAGTGTCGTGCGACAAAGCGCGACACTCGCAGGGGGCCGCCAGCTGACCAGACACAGACGCAGACGCAGCTACCTGAGGGGACTCAGTGGTGAGTGTGTACAGACTCGAGCCAGGCG